AAACTTCTATCTGAGAAGTCGTTGCTCGAAGAGCCATTCAGCACGTGTGACCGCGAGATGTACATCCCGTGATTGGAGGATGAGCGTCGATTTATCCTCTCAAGGTGCGAGTTGGTCACACTTTTGATCAGCCACTAGTGCCCAAACAGTTAAGTGTTCAGTTAACTGGCCTGGATGTCGCGGCTTTTTGATCCGAGTTTCGTGAGATGCGCACTGCAGATGATTCCTACTGCGGATGAAAAAGGTGCACAGTGCTTCTCGGATTTTCATCATAGATTGGATTCACTTGCCGGACGAATTTTCCTCATCTATATATCTCTCTATCTATCGATCTGTGTATCGAACTGTCCATCTGTCTATCTAACTAAACATATATACATGAGCCTTCCTGTCGAGATGTCCGCCTTTATGTCCACTTGATTTTCAATGTAATATATATCCGACATTTTCTGTATATTAATTTATTTGCCTATCTGCCTCTATGTGAATCGCTTTATAATTATGTATAAATGTTTGTACTTATGTCTATAGATAGGTGTATATATATATGTATATATATGTGAGTGTGTGTATCTATGTGTGTATTTTCATACGTCATTCTATCCGAGATGATGACAATTATATGACAGACCGGGTAATACATAAATGAGGTGTATGCACTAATCACCCTTGTTCTCAATATCAAAAGAGTTGTAGTATTCTGGTAGTCTAAATCAGCAGCATTTCTCAAGTACCCGTTTTTCTAAATAAAACGGACAAAACTTAACTAAAGTGAATTCCTTAAGACGGTAGATGTAACACCGATTCGGGTATGAATTAGAGAGCCCGACGAGTAAGAAAGGTAAGTATGTTTGCTGAACACGAAAGACTGCGATGATATCGGCTCGGATGATGAAAAGCGTTTCTGTCACTAAAGTGATGGACGCAATCGATTACAAGTACCCCAACTAATTAGACTGCCATTTGACTTCGGAGTAATCACTTGGTTTCCTAAAGATATTATGGCTGTTACAACAGACAATACATAATATAAAAAATTCTGGTGAACACATACTGCTTTGGCCACATCATTCTGGTGCATCAGTGCATCATAATGACCTTGGAACTTCCCAACTGGGAGATCTCCCATCGCCTGAAATGAACCATAAACAGACGCTTTTCACTGTATGGTCAGTTCAGACAGCGAATTGTTACATAAAAATAGAAATCGGTCTTAAATGCATCCGCGGTTCTACACTGGGTTATTAGGATTCCGTGGTGAAGGACCTGATTGAACAATAAACGTCTCTTCTCATTTTTTTCAGCATCGATAATCACCGAATCACTAATGTGTTTCTCTATGATTCCCTAGGAAGCATAGAATGCTCTTGATTTTGTTTTCTCTCAGCTACTAAAATCCACATAAATAAATTCACCATTCAAAACAAGCTTTCAAACATCTGGGGACTACAAAACGAAAACATAGAATCACAGAGCAAGTATTTCAACCGCACAGACTATACAGCAAAAAGTACTAATACGTCGTTTACCACTGATGTGTACATAAAAATGGTTTTTAGGTTACCATGGAGCATGAATATCTGAATGTCTGCTAGATGGTTTTCCAAACCCGTTGTCAGTTTGTATAGTTTAAACTTGAATCCCACCACAATGTGCTGTGACGTGCTTACATCAATCCTGTTTACCCGTGTTATTGTGCACTTTCACTTTGTGCCGCATAGCGGAGCTTCATCATTCGATTGCAGGTTCTGTCCCTTCAGTGCAACCAATCAATGCTGTGAAACCGAGAAGCATTGTATAGATATCTCCTCTGATATTGCGAGTCAGCAGCAGGGCGCAACTCACTCCCGCAGGTAATGGCGAACCCGCGACTTTCCGGCAAGTGACCGAATGCTTAATTCTTCAACCACAATGGGTTGATCAGCAGAGTGACTGGCTTTCACCTTGACAGCGTCACTTACTGTTCAGTCATGGGAAACCACATCAAGTTACCACATAATCACTAGCTATACGCGTGATATGCTGTCAGATGAGAGTTTCAGTCATCGTGTAGGTCTGTTCTTCTCCTGAGTTACTTGCGGCTGATTCATACAGATTTGAGTGCCGTTTGTACCATAAAATGAAAGGTATAGAGCACAGGGTACCCAACGCCATTAATTGGTTACCCGCTAGATGACACTGGCTAGGTTTGTATATATGGAAAACTGGACTAGCTGCCTTGCTAAACCTCGTCCATGAAACCTGAATTCCCTTAGCATCTATTTTGAAGGTTGACCGCCATCTTCCAGTAATAACAAAATAAGAGTGTCATGTCCACAAATACACTCATTTTCGTAACAGATTGGTGATTGAACTGAATCTCTCCGAGTGTTCATGACGCACCATCTCACCGTACTTCATCACGTGACTAGCTTTTGTCCTCTTTTTCACCTCCTGGTACTGTTGTTCCAGTGTTCGCTTTTTCAGGTCACTCTGTGTGCGGGGGGGGGGGAAATAACGGCAGTGGGGAATGGGTGAAAAAGACGGATCAGTTTACGCAGGACCCAATAAATGCAAAACATATCAAAACAGTTAGAGTTAAGACAACCGAGTTAAACAACGACACATACTCCTGATAAATGAGTGAACATTTTACTGTTCCGGTACACCGTACACGTGCAAATGAAGCTTTTCACAGAACCGTAGATTCCGTTCTGTCCACCTCTTGGCTCAGGACTCTGCGTACAGCGTATGGAATGCAACACCTCTCTGGGCATCCACTAATCGTGACGCGTAACAGATGGCCAAGCCAACTTGTGTTGAAATGTTTGATAACTTTTTTGGAAGGAAATATCCTGTACCAGGGCAATATGTGAATTCCAGTCATTCGATATTAGACAGGCCACGTGAGAAAATAGAAGGACACAAATGGCGATAAGGTGACACCCCAATGAATCTTTATTCACCAGAATATGCTGCACATTGTGTTTTGTGGATCAATTCAGCAGATCTTTTAAGAAGGCTTCCGGTACGTCCACCGCCATCATTATCTGCAGCATCAGCAGCATCCTCAAGGAATCATCAGTGTTGGCCTCTGGTACTTTTGCCGGAGTGTATTTTTTATAGGACCTTCTGGGTGCAGAACATTCTGCGCGCGTGATGAACGGCATACCCCGCTTGTCAAGTAAAATCATCACTGGGGGTGACACAACGAATTATGGAACGACGCGTATTTCTGTTGAAGCACAAAGCACCCCGCTGTACCAGGACGCAATACCCATACAAATATTAAGAATTTGACCCTGTAGGGCAACCAACATCATCATCATCACCATTATTATTATTATTATTGTCAGCACCCGAGTTCAAGATTAACGCTCCTCTGCGTGCATTGAAAATTCGTTTGAAGTCCTATTCAAAAAAAGAATCAAAGTGAAAGAGAAAATGATTTGATACTGGCTTATCACAATCATTTCGAAGCACCTACAGCCCTAGCCACATACTCAAGCGATCTAATTCAACAACGAAAACAAGAATTCCAAGAACATTGATACAAGAGCACACCTATTTCCATCTTAGAGGGTGAGTTATACTGACAACATTCAGTCTTTCGACTGCGGGCTGATCTGTTTTTAAAAGAATAATCACCAGTTCCACAAAAGTGCCGTGTTGTTGAAGATACAAGTTCTAAAGCTCAATGCAGGCTAAACTAATCCAGACGTGAAACATCCCTCTATCTTACTCCGCACGCACTGTCTGTATTCTGCGGTTGACTTTTGAAATCAGTAGAAAAATTCACGTTGGCGGAACCTTTAAATATTATGTTACTGCGTATGCAACATACTGAGATGTATTAGGTTTTTGATTGATAGTCTAATGGGCGCAAGTGTCGATGTGAAGGTAGGGGGTGCCGACCAGTATCATTCTGCAAGGCGCATAAGCAGGGAGTTCCAAATGCCAAAACAAAAGCTTGGGCCGACTGTTCACAGACGTCCAAAATACTTGCCAACTCGCAGAAGCCCCCAGCCTCCACTGTCATCCAAAGGTTAACACTTACTTGGACAGAATGGCTAACTCGTTAGGAGAACCAAACGGACAAACACTGCATGCTGCCCACGACAAAACTATCTATTACAAACCATCAGGCTTTCACAAAACTCACGTGTTCCGAATCCGTAATCCAGGCATACGAGTATTCGGTCGCTAGACAAACACCGATTTGCTTATCCGTACAAAAAACACCATAGCTTTCTTCCTTCTCGTTGGCTGATGTTGTCACATAGACTGCAGTTTTAGAGAGTGGAAACAGGAGAATATACAGATTGATAACTTGTGAAAAAGTGGGGCAACTTGTATTGTGACTCACAGAAATCGTGAAGCTCCCAGAATTCGAATACCAGCGCACTAAACAGAAGCTCGCTGAAAAATCGTTGACAGAATACCATGGTTTTCGCGCTCCATAGGGTCAATCAGAAAGGCGCAGTCCTCTAATCTCCCTCAAGCATAATCACTTCTTGGAACCAGACTGGACGGAGCTCGTCAAACATGGTTGGGTCAGGCCTTCCAAACGACAAAAGTATGTAGATATATAATATGATTGCCTCTGGTAAAAACCCCGTCAGAATCGATCACTGACGTGCAGTTGGAAAAAAATTGGTCCCGTCACTGGTATCATGCCAGTTGTTTGTTCTGTGAAAGTGTACTTTTTATGAAAGACTCACGATCTATACCTAAGTTGCAAATCCTGCATCCACCTGGGAATGGTGGTTGCAACAATAGGACCCCAAATATCACGTGTTGCACCGATATTACAGTGACTTTTAACCACTGCAGCAGAGTTGACGTTATTCGATGAAGTGTGATGCTGTTGACTATCCGGTTAAGGCTTCTTGCAGATGACCAGGGACTACACACATTCAATGATCACAAGAGAACAAGCATGAACCATGCTTGGAACGTCGTTTAGTTCAACGGGTCAGGGCGGTATTTCAAACATATATGAGGGAAATTCAGGATGATAACTCAGAGGATCCCCGCTACTTACTTCCCACATTTGGAGGAAAAAGATCCATAAACATAGAACCAGAGTAGCAAGCGTCCATGTAAAACACCAGTTTGTTATACTTTTTCATTTTGTACAAGTGGAGGAGGATATCATTCAATTGCGCGGCAGTGAGCTGTCGCAAGGCAAGAAAGAAAATTCGTGAGCACGACAGATTATTGGTGGAGGATTATTGAGTTTCTTGGAAATCCAAATTGATACCCCTGTAAAATATTTCCGCACTAGAAAAAATACAGCCTTGATATAAGTAAATTGCAGCATAAGTCGTTTACTGCTCGTTGAGATGTGAAATCACATCCTGTAAGTCAAGTCAATTTGTGGAGATACTTCTAGCCCTAACCATGTTTGACAAAAAATTAGGATGATTTCCATTGAACTGAAAAATTTCAAATGTCGTCTCACTACATACACAGTGTAATCATTGCGGAAGAAACAATGAACGGCTTTTCTATGAGTTGTCATTCCATAATTAAGCCAGCAGTGATGTGGTTTCCTGAATTGAAGGATGAGGGATGTAATATTCCGACCAACCGCGGCAAAATCAGGCTGTCGGTTGGCCCCATGGCCGAACAGTAAAATTTTGCAACTATATTTCGCACCACTCAATAAGGATGGAGCAGTTGTCTCATACATAGTGAACGATGACCTATTGATTCGCGTTATCTCCCGACTGTTAAAAATGATATCATCTTGCCTTCATGCCATCAACGCCCCATGAGTGACCGTGTACGAACAGCTTCTTTGTTTGTCGTACCTACGCTTGTCCAGCTGTCTAAAGGGATCAACCGCTGAATCATGTGAGTTCAGCCACCTTGAACTAAAGCAAACTAAATATGTGTAATTTTATAAATATAGCACCCTTACGCACCTGCCAAACTTGAGAGAAAGAGACGCCAGAACTTCGCAGCTTCTCTTCCAGCATTCGGGGAATGTCTATATCAGTTGTAACTATAAACTGTTCTATAAGGAACCACGCGTGACAATTGGCATCTTCACTGCATTCAAAATTTAGCCTCCTATTGAATGGCCGTGTGGTATGACGGTGATTATCAAAATTATCAAAACTTACATCTCCTTCCGGGAAGGTGATATAGTTACGGAAACCATGGCCAGTGTAATAGATGAAAACGTTTTCATCATGACCGCTGCAGATTTACGGGAAAGTTAAGGTGATCTAGATTAGGACCTTATTGGGTGGCGCTCTTGCGCATAGGAAAGCACGACCATGTTGTAACGCAAACGATATTGGCCAACTGATGATTAAGGAAATCGGAAAGGTATAAAAAACTCCAAAATACATTTCTGTCTGTGGCACACGATAATGTTGTTTAGGAAAAATATTTTGAACTTTGAGTTATTTATTTGAACAATTCCTGTGCGACCTATCCGTCGAGCACTTAACACGAATGAAGTAAATGGATAACGAACACGCAGGTCGGAATATTTTTTTTGTGCACGCTACTGTATATAATCACTTGAGAAATTAACTCCCATTGGCGTGCTATTTGTATGGCCACATGAATATGGAAATGGAAAATGTATTTTTTGAACGTCGGTTTGTTTGTTATTGTATCTTCCAAAATAGTAGCTCCTTTGGCTTCTGTGGTACGAAGGTGGATGAAGTCAGTTTTCCACTTTAGAAAGTTTTATCAGTTTGCCATTGGAACGATGACACCCAGCCGTTTACAAATCCCGGATTGACCATCCTAATTAAATCGGCTTATGAAAATATCCCCACGGTTTAATCACCACGGAGAAACCATATTATAATCAAGATGAGACAAACCTATATTCCGAACACGGACATCCACGAAGTGTGCTTGCGTGAAAGTACTTTTCGGTGATAACACTGTTTTCATCTTGCAAGTGACTTTATCGTCGTTGGTTACCTATCACAAAGATCATCTTTCTTTCTCTATCTCAACAAACGAGTTGCGGGATCAGAAACTCTGAATCGGTTAACACGTGCAACGACTGGGTGATCCCGGATTGAGTGGCAATTCCGATTCCATACGGTGTATGGATGACGGAATGGGATATTTATGAGCTGTAAGTGAACACTCGTTTTCGGTGATCATAGTTTGCATCTGTAAGCTGGGCGCTTCATTTGTGATCATATTCGGTTCAAGAAGCCGTGAAGAGATTCTCAAAAGGTGAACCGTGACGTTACCAAGCTACAGGCAACCTAAAGCGAGGCAGGTATTTTAAAAACTGAGAATTTCCGGAAGTCCAGTATATTCTGTCTGCGTACCGTTTGTTCATGGCCTGAGTGATCGGTTGCCGATTACTACTGTGACACGGTTTCCTTTCTCACATTTGAGTAGCTCAAATTCCGACTTCTGCAGTTCTGCAGTTCATTTTTGTGGTAAATTCTGATTTCCTTTTGTGCTACAGCCTGAGTTTTCGAAGTGTGCTTGCGTGAAAGTACTTTTCGGTGATAACACTGTTTTCATCTTGCAAGTGACTTTATCGTCGTTGGTTACCTATCACAAAGATCATCTTTCTTTCTCTATCTCAACAAACGAGTTGCGGGATCAGAAACTCTGAATCGGTTAACACGTGCAACGACTGGGTGATCCCGGATTGAGTGGCAATTCCGATTCCATACGGTGTATGGATGACGGAATGGGATATTTATGAGCTGTAAGTGAACACTCGTTTTCGGTGATCATAGTTTGCATCTGTAAGCTGGGCGCTTCATTTGTGATCATATTCGGTTCAAGAGGCCGTGAAGAGATTCTCAAAAGATGAAACGTGACGTTACCAAGCTACAGGCAACCTAAAGCGAGGCAGGTATTTTAAAAACTGAGAGTATTACCAGGATTTGAGGGACTAGTATTCAACGAATCAAAAGAACCGCTAGTATATTTCGATTATCCATTATTCAGGTTTGAGGCATGACCAAAATCAAATCCTGAATCAGAGCAAGCCAAGATCGACAAACCCCTAGTTTTAAAGGACCATACAAATGTTTGACCATTCACAATTGAGCCCATCTGAATATTTTCGAAAATTGTTAACAGTGGCGATTGATGCCTACGATTACCACAGTGTAGAATTGATAAACCCGGTTTCATTTGGAGTGTGGCAAATCTATTTTGACTAAACTCAGGGGGCTTTACTTAAAGAGATTTCGTACCACATGGCTTAAGAGAATGCTAAGCACGCGTTTCGTTAATCCCAAAACGCTGACCTCCCACTCCGGCTGTGATCAGCAAGCGCACCAACAATATCTTCTTCCACAAAAACTCACCTTTTCAACACCTTCTTCCCTTCCTTTTCAAGTCTTTTATCGCCTGTCATTACCATAGTGAAGATATACGGTTTGACGTCCTGAAACAGATAAACACTCATAATGAGTTATATCTGTGACACTGGTGTTTTCCACGCTTATTCTACTGTCAGTAGGCATCCACTTACCCTCTAGCAAAGAATTGGAAATCTAGGGTCTGCTCTCCATCTTCACCCAGACTACTATCGGGACGGTTGCTAAATGATGGAAACTTAAAACATGATTTTTGGTGTGGTCGACAGGCATGGCTAGTTTCCAAGACGAACTCTGTTTAAAACAAAGTCAATACTCACTCAGTGTCCACCGAATGGTGCATGTCAATGGCGAATCCAGGAGACACCACAATTTCCAGAAGACAGTCGACGCATACACTTCAGGAACGGAGATCTGTATCTGGTTTCAGGTGCCGATACACGCTACACACCACTGGTTTTTCGTTTGCTAGGAACGCTAGCTTGGAAGCTTTGTGTCGAGAACTAGACTGTGAAAATTCCGTTAATACACCTTAAGCTTACTTGGCAGGCCACAAGCAGAAGTGTAAACTCGGTCGTGGGCTGCTTGAGTTTTCTCTATCACCTAGTGTTCGTTCAAGCAAATTTACTATTATGTAACGTAGTTAAACTGCCTAGGATGCCCTACGGTTGATATTGTGTCTTAATACGCAGTGTCATGTTACTTGCACCTTGTGTTACACGGTGAACAAATTAATTTAATTGCTACGCATGAACATACTTTTCCACGATAGTCAATTACCACACCCTTGTAAACATCTTTGTGCTCGTAGTCATGGAACACTTTGCCTTTGAACGGATTCCTGGGATAAAAGAATGAAGAAATTACCATAAATGTCAAACAGGGGAAATGAAATGTTCGTACGTTCTGTATGGAACCATATGACACACTCCAACATAAGTTATACCTGATGTATAAATCCGGTAGGTAGGAAACATAGAACATTACACATTCTAAGTGAAAATGTAGTTTTCTTATGTAAATCTACAGGGAAACACCTGTAGTAACAAATTATGTGAGCATACCCTCACCCACTGCACTTGAATGTAATTTAATTAGCCAGTGAATGACTTGCGATTATTACAGCCTCCAAGCAAGAAAAAAATCTTTCGAATGTTTCCGCCACGAATCGTAGCAATGGCTGTTTTACAAAATGATAAGTTTATTAGGTTGTGCGCCCAAAACTTGCTTCAAGTCATCAGCAGGATGATGCCCTTAAACAACATCTTGGCATCGATGTTATTAATTTCACATTACTGACAATCGAAAAGATGAAATTTCATATTAACCAGGAAGGGTATACTGGAGTTATTGCATTTTGAGCTGCTATCAGTTGGGGTGATTGAGTAAGCGTAAATGCAGTATGGTGTCATGAAATATCATTAAAAGTTGGAAACTTTATGTTAAGTCTCGGGTGACGCATTGAAACAGTTTTCTTCGGCCCAATTATATTCATAGCTTGTATACGTGAAATTTACGACTCAAAAATAGGGGAAAATAAAACCGAAAAATGAAAAGCGATTTCTAACATCTAATTCCCAACAGATGACAAACATTGTAAAATTTACTTGGGATTGTTGGCGATATCGTCGTAAGCGATGGTAATTATATTCTCCGCTGGAATTTTGTTTGCACGCAAAATGTGGTAGGCGTGATAAACGTTCGCCTGAAGGAAAATATAAATTACAGGTAAATGAGTGGTAACAGGCAGAGTGTAACACGGAGGCAAATGATGGCAAGCAGAGTTCCTATGATCCTGCATACTAAGTGGAGTATCAGGTCTAAAAAACATTTGAATGCCCTATCCCTGTCCAATATATTGAATCTAACATACTCGCTAGTGTCCCGTTAATTTCGTGCTTGAATTCGTGCACGGCAACTAACTAGTTATTAATTTTGGCTGTTTCGGAGCTGGAGTACAATGTTTGAGGTTTCAAATCGTGCTTTTATCATTATGTGATGCAACTGATGCATCCTTACTGAGAATCATCTGTAGTGTGATCTTCTCCGGAGGGTCCCGAACCTAGCACATCCCGGCAGTCACTAGCTGGCTGACCGATTGGTCACGAGCAGCTGATTAGCTTGCGCTGCAACACATTTGGGAACGCGGTTTGATTGAGATTTCTCCATGAAAAGAAAACTGCTCAATTCGTCATAATTGCGGTTAAATCTAAGCTTATTGTCAATATTGTTTCGCTGCATTGGGTTTATCAGTTTCTTCGGACACAATCACATGAGATAAGTTTCCTTCATTGGTTGCACAGCAGCCCTCATAGAATGCTTTCGCGCCATATCCACTCAAAAGTGTCTTCTATATGCCACTGTGAATAACAAATAAACTGCGTCAATTTTGTATTAAAGTGGTGTAAATTGGGTGTCGCAATTTATCCCGAAAATGCATTGCTGATTCGTCGGGAAGAAAAATGCCTCAAATGTTAGAAATTCTTCAATATAACTGGCTGGATAGCTTCCACTCTTGTCAACCTCCATCACCATCTAATATTATCAGGAACAGCTGTTTATCCGGGAAGGAAAAATCTAACAAAATTTTCCATTCGACCAATCTGTTTTTTCAAAAGAATAAAAGGGTGACAATGATCATTCATGAGATTTTGCATCGGGTTTTACGACATTATCCAGGCTGACCTTTAAACATGGCGACTTCTTTAAATCGTTATGCGTATAACAGATTGATGATGCCTCATTGACAGGGGACAGAAGTCAGCCCCTCCTTAGCCTACTGTGTGTCTAATTTAGAAATAGGATCATCCTAATGACCATGGATAACACTCTTGGTCTTGGAAGATGCTTTATCCACGATCCTTTAGGATGAAAGCCCCTGAAAGCCCCTCTATGAGTGTTCCTACTCTCCTGTTGTCATTATTGTCACCCGAACTGAAGGTATGCTGTAGCTGGGTCTTTACGAGAGAAATTCGAGGTCACAGAGGACTGAGGGTTTTTGCGTCTCAGCAACCCACTGAGTAGTTTATTTGCGACGCAAAAATCCCTTCATATTTTCTGTTAAGCAGGTGGCAGCCGCTTGAGGTTTGCGAATAATTAACTTCTAGGTGAAGTGCAATCGTTCTTTTGCTCGTAGTATCACAGCCTAATTTCAATGATGAGTAAGCGGAAGTTAGTACAACAGAAGCCCTCCTTCATTCCTTCTCCCGCATATATCCGATATTTCCAATTTAATCAACTTGTGGTATCGACACGGACGCAGGCACAATTTCAATATCTGACGGAACCGCTTTTATTTTCATTGTCTTGAAATGCAATATCCGCGTTCAGTTTAGTCGCTACAGCTTTAGACGATCCGATGTTATTTCTTAGTTCGCTTATCAATCTTTAAGGTTCGCACAGCATCCTTGTTCGCTGCAAACGATTCCCGCTTTACCGAAATGACGATTTAAGATCCCATCAAGATTGGTATACTGATCTATATATTAGATTCCACTGGCTCTTAATTACGCTCCTTTCCGGCGGCGCCGCTGCTTTTACAACTGTATTGGTATTGATCTAGGTCACCTGAAAGTAGAGTTTCTCATTGAATGGTCAACGGCATCGATGATAGCTTTTTGCATCACCTTGGAGAATAACCAGTAAAAGCCTGCATATTACTGTGGTTACCGAAGACATAAATGCGCAAGTGGGCAGACGTAGCGCTTCCGCGACTCACATAGGTGGGTGCAGAACCGAAATGGAATTCACGGACTACGGGGGACGACTGAGTTAGTAACATGTTGAGGATGGTTATGAGTAACTTCCTAAACAACCGAAGCCGCCCTGCCCTATGGCGCTCCTTCACAAAAACCAACCGGCAGCACAGACGGACAACACCGATATTAGCTGTGTGGCGTTGCTATTTCTGGAACACCAGTGTAAGAAGGTATCAAAGGACTTTTCTTCGCTTTCGTTGCGCGATTGCCGCATTTGAATGATGAGCACATCTCAGCTGACTATTGGGAAGCCTTGGAATCCTAGGGTTGGACAAGCCTAACAGAATCAAAACTGAGGTCCCTCCCGGTTCTCGGGACTTCTGATTTGAACTTCTACTGTCTTTAATATACTGAGCACCACTCTTGTTTAATGTTACAACAAACTAAATGCAGGTAGTGGATCTCGGCCAACGATCTAATTTTCTGCGAAAATTGGACAAGTTTCATCCAAGTAGAGAGCAAAATATCACACAACGAACGCTGTAACTTCTGGGAAAAGCACTGCATCGGTTGAGAAATTTTATGGAAACAAACTCAAAGAGGCCTGCCATGGGCCAAGCAAGCCCTAGTATACATGACCGATCACAAGATTAAATATTTTCCATAACTAATCGAACGAATAAATGCAGTCTGTCAAATGGAGTCCTGGCAGTGAACGGGGAAATTCCAAAGGCTTTAGAAATAATCATTTCAAGTTCCAATTCAAGAGCGATCAGGCGGCTGGTCCTGACCAACTCAAAATATCTACGATTAAACATAGTGGTGAAATACTTTGTCGTTGTGTGTCTAATTGATTTGTTTTTTCTGGGCGGTAGAAACAGTCTAAACGAGCTGGGTTGATTCGATTTGGCCCTAAGGGAGTGTATCAGTCACCTGGGAATTAGCTCGACCTTTTTTGTGATAAGAATGTTTTCATGTGCCTATTTTATTCGGAGACAAGGCCTAAGAACGGGAGGCGCAATTCCGGGCTTCCAGAGGTTGTGTAAACAAAGGCTTCTGAGTTCTCCAAGTGTCAGAATGATGAAATGCGAACCCACTGAATCTTATTTTTGGACACACGCATTCAATATGCGCAAATGTTTTGCATACGATTCTCATATAATCCCATGCAAAAAGGGTATAGGTGAATGGGTGTAGTAATCAGAGTGGCGTTCACGCGATCTTACCATGTTGTGTAGAAGTATTTCCTCTTATTGCACGGCGAATCCGGCGCTCTCGAAATTGATGTGTCTGGCGTAGCAACTGGTGTCGCTGCAACGCGGGTGGACTTTTTTTTGCTTTCTCAAACCCGGTTTGTTAATCAGGTCACTATAATCCACTGTAGTGCGAGTTTTCCTCTAATATGATTAATTAACAAAGCAAGCTTTGATAAGCTGTGGTACTTGTGGATCATTAAATTCCTCGAATTTTTTATGCAAAAGCATTCCCTCTACTCGGGGCAGTGATTTCAAATAACATAACGCAACGTGAAACACCTTCCATGACGGTATTTGCCTCTGATTAACATGATTCATGGTAAGCATCCCACCATAATTTGAGTTCACTAGGTCCATTTAGTCGACCCCTCACGGAATGAAATGTCGTAGCACGACAATGCACTCCTGTCGAGGCCAAGAAATGTGCACCCATTTGTTTTGGGTTTGATCAACCGTCTTCTTTAGTGAGACATCATAGTCAGATAGATAATTAGTTAGAACACATATGTTTGTGGTACCATTAGTGCAAATTTCACATTCGAAAACAATTTCATGTGGTCTTCAGAAGAATTTGGTAATCAAAACAATGAAAACACCAACCGAAACTTACTTGATGTCGATAACTTTCCCAGGTGTTGGTACCAGCGACAAGGACAACCCAGTTCTTTGACGGCTGGTTGTTAAATATGGATGACAAATTGTGAACACCGGCGGCTTCGAAACAAGCTACACGGTCGGTGCAGAACAAAAACGCAATAAGAAGCGGAAAACGACGCATTTTTCCAGGGTTACCTGACGCTTCATCTTTCTGGAGTTTTATAATGTACTCCCGCTGTGAATCGAACTTTGCCCTAAACATGTATGGCGATTGTGTGAAAAAGCTATCCACCACAAAACTAGTTTGCCCTAAACATGTATGGCGATGGTGTGAAAAAGTTATCCACCACAAAACTAATAGAACTCTGGTAGACAGTTTTTGCCGACCAATGTATCATCGGCAAATTTGTTCATATTGCTGAATGGCAGCACTCTGGTAGACAGTTTTTGCCAACCAATGTATCATCGGCATATTTGATCAGCTTGTTGAATGGCTGATCATTGGCGCGAGCTTTATACGACAATCTATGCACAGTGGTAATTTGTGGTGTGTTTTAGGAAAAATGTCAATCATATCATTGAGTATCTGTGCATCTTGACGGAACTGAGTCGCAAAATGATTATTCAAAATGATTTCGCTTAGTACCTGCCTTCATAACTACAATTGCTGATAACTTTAGACCATGTAGCATTGATATGGTTTTTCTGTCTTACAAACCATCCGGCGAAGTAGTGTAGTTACAGTAGGTCGGCACAAAATTTGACAAAATTAACCGGACTCAAGATTTGACTTCTCAAATATGGATATTCACTCACTGCGTAGATTGATGGTCTCATGACGCATCTGGTTGAAATTAGCGGTTGAATCCGAAACTTTGAACCAAGGAATCCATTTATCTCTATTATGGCAGTTTACATGAAATTACAAATACACGAAATTAGAAACATTGAATGGGTCCTCTTAAACCAGTTTAAAGTTGCTCCGATATTTCACTACTTTTCGTAATATTATTCTTCAATTTTCGGAATTGCAGGTTGCGCCCAGCAAGACTTCCTTTTCTATTTCGCTCAGAAAGCAATATGAAAAACTTTACAAACCACTGAAACTGAAATTATATGAGAAAATTATTCGTATTTTCCTTTTTAATGAAAATGGACTTCAGAATTTAGAATACCCACTTGAACAGGGGAATCACTTTTAATTTCGGCGTCTGGTGGTGACTTGAATCGGTTGATTCTTACGGCTTCTTGTAAGAAGTGGATTCATCACTTTGTGATATTGAGCTGCGTTCACACGTTAAATCCTCCGAACTCTACTGTTGAAGATAATCTACTGCAATCCCTGGTGATAAAATAGCAGTTTTCATATTGAGAACATGATGATTATAGTAATAATTCAGCCACAGCGCCGTTTTGGTATGCAGCCGTCTCATTGTACGAGGGAAGGACAAGGACTGTGCGATCGCCGGATCGCCAAAGCCTGGATAGGACAAGTCAAGATGCTGATGCTGGGTTTTAAAAATGGTCAGTAATTTCGAGCACAAACCAGTTAGGTATCCTGAGCTCCTAAGTTAACTTGAAATTCCGAAAGCGATTTTCTATAAATGAATGCAGTTCAACCTTGTTTAAAAGCTTTCGTTTGCTACGAAAATATTATTACCACACGAAGCGTTAATAATTCTCTCACGTTCTCATTGTGTAGAACGGTATCCCGCATTACTTCAGTCCGCTGAACTCGTTTATCATTTTGAGGTTAACTAGTATTTGACATTTACGGAGCGGATAAACACAATATCTTATTGTCGTGGCATATCAACATCATCGTCAATATCATCTTCATCATCATCTCCATCATGATCGGCAACAACTTTATGTTGGTCGTAAACGCTGATGCTTCGCTCTCGTACAAACATAATTTATTAAAACCTTGGCCGTGAAAAAACGACAATGGAAGGTCTTTGTGCTAGCTCGCCACATTCATTCTTAGGTGCCTACATCTGCAAACATTGTTTCAGGCAAACTGCAGAGAGACTGACAACAAGAATCCGAGTGACATCAATTAGGGTCATTACATCTAACAGAGTTCCAACTAGAGTTATTTTCAAGAATGACTTTAAGAAGCTGCGATTTTAGGGCTTCGAATAAAATGCGTGGATTTCTATAATTCATATAAGTATTTTCCAGGTTTAAACTGGGGTTCCATGAATTTTGTGTGTGCCTATTGTTTGACCATCTTTCCCGCTCACTCAGATGATGGTTTGCTTTGTGGTTTTCGTTTGTGCAATTAAGTCATCGTTCTGAAAGCGGTTGATGAAAATCTGTATATGTATCTAAAATTCGGTCGTGGACACTGGTCCTCCAGATAAGGAGTTCCTCAGAGTTTTTCATGTGCTATTGTTCACCTATCGTATCTTCTTTCAAGGCCTCGAGCTGCGAAAATCGGCGGTGGACTATTACCGGGTAGCGGCGATAGAATGTGCTTGGTTCGTCCGGGGATGCACGTAATTCCGCCCCCAACTTGATGCCCCTTAATTTTTTCCAATTTAGATTTAAGCGGGGATGTCTTATACTATGCAGTTGGTTCTGATTGTGGAATTCATCATTGGGTTGTGAGGCTCCGCTGAAGATGTGATCCTGTTATCTATTTTTGGTCGGTTATTTTTAGAAAACATCATGTTGGCAGCGCAAGAGAAAACAAGCTTGCATGTGAAATCATATCGTGTTTTCTGTTCATCAGACTCTCACTAAGTGGCATGAGCAGATTACTCAACGTTGCATTATCAGACGTCATCCTCCATCTCATACCCATATATTATGCAATGGTTCCAAAGTGAAACAGCAGACAAGGTTCACTGACTTGGTACTTTGGTCATTGACTTATTCGCAGTTTATGCTCTCAGAATTCGGGAGCTGGTAGCCTCGAAACCCAGCTCATATTCGACGGCATGGTAAATCACGTCAGGGAATGTTATGCACGCCGAAACTCCACTATTTCGGTCTGGTTGTCGTTCCACAATTCTCCCACTGAACAACCGTATTAATGTTGGGCCAAGGACTTCCGATTAGTATGGCAATTGGTTCCCACTTGGACTGATAAAGCGTCAATCACTCTTAAACTAAAGAAACCAAATCACATGATAACTTGTAGACGGGCTTATCAAAACATGGTTCGCGTTTGATGCAGTTACTATTAGAAAACATCGCGCTGCAACGTTGCTACACATGAGAATAATACAAGTTTACCTGTGAAATCGCACTGTTATTTTTTCATGCATCAGACTAACCTTAGAATGGCGTGAGCAGTTTAGTCCACTTCACGCCGTCTGAAGTCATCCTCTGACTCCTGTCGCACACCTGGTGCAGGGGTTCGGCAATGAAACTGTAGACAATGTTAGGTGAAATGGTATAATTCGGTGATGACCTGAATCACGAACCTTTGTGACCATGGACAATTTATGGTGAAAGGACTTGTTCCAACCAAAGTTCACAATTATGCTACCAGCTGAACCGTCCGTCCAAAAGTCATTTTTGTCTCATTCCTTCACATATTTAGAAAGCTCAAGATTGAAAAGCTCATCCTCTAAATATATTATCACTCAAAGAATGATTTATTTATTCTTTTCATCATGAGGTACCATTTTCTTTGCTGCGATTAGTAAAGAACCATAAAGGATAAGCGAGATTTTATATGCTTCATGAGTGCAGGTTGCCCTTCTCATAGACAGACGTGTTATTTTAAACCCAACATTATTGATTTGGTTTCACATTTTACCTAATCCAGGATTACTATGGCATCATTATCTATTCCATGCCAGTTGCGCTCTTTATGACAGCTGGACAACCATTGGTGTCTGAAAAGCAAAGAGAAATTACTTGTTCGAAAAAACCGCCAGGAAATCTAGTGTTCGTTCCTTGAGATGGCTCAAGTGGTTAGAGCGCGAATTTACTGACCGGAAGGTCCGTGGTTCGAACCCGACCTCCGCCACTCGACTTCCCCTGTCTAGGGTTGGGCAACCTGACAGTATCCCAGCCCTCGTGCTTCCTTCGGGTGGCATGGCAGCTAGGCACCGAAAGGGCGCTACAGCTGAACGAATTTCCTTGAGATTCACGGTTCCAGTGAACGCCGGTGAGGGTGTAACAGACGTACAGTGCTTCCTTGCTTGATTTACCCGACGAAATGTCGAGCAGAACTCACTTAATGATTCCCTTTTTGTCAACGGTGAGAAGGTTTTCCGTGCACCTCCGAATTCACCGGAACGCGTGATTTGCTGGCTTTAAAACGCATGCGTAATCTCAAGGGGTAGTACGATATACGAGTTTCATACACAAATCTGTGACGTGCGGATCATTTTCTAATTCTAGACATGCATGAATGCAAAGTCGCATAGCCTCATTTTCAGAGAATGTGTCACCCTACTCTATGTTTTGTTTCGTTAAATAGCTGTCAGACATGTTCAGTGACTACTTTGAGTCCTCGACCAAAAGCCGACATCTCACAAAGAATTCTGATGTAAACTGGTGTCCGTAAATCCACAACGACAGACGTAGAAAATGAGTGTTCGGCTGTACGACGTAGACTACATTCGAGGCATGTGTGTCACTAAGTAAGAGACTTTGGTAATTTTGTGTATGCCGGTGCCAATCTCCTTCCAGGATAAAGCAAAAACCCTGACGATGGCAATGCGATATTTTCTCTTGTTCAGAGAACCAATGTGTATATGAAAATATTTACACAAGGCTTTCACTTATGAAATTAGGTTTTATCGCTCAAAAGTGGCCGAAAATTCACAGAGTGAATTAAGAATATTTCAATTTGGATAACAGGAAAATGGATAACTACGGTGTCTCTAAATAATTTCAGAGGGATCTAAACGGCTTTCTTCAATCAATCGATAGGTGGCGCCTCGATGTTGGATGACACTTTCATCCTGGAGGCAACAACCCAGCATTTACCGACGGAGGATTCATCGATCGATTTCCTAAGCAGCATTAAACCGTTATCACTCACATTTCGTTTTGTCGCAGATATCCCCAAATTTATTTCATGCGATTCATCCAATTGGGTTCAGCTTTGCCTCGACAAATCCCTCAGTAATTTAAACCAATAATTGTTTCTCCTGTGTTAAAAATCATATTGGATTAAGTTGCGCAAAAATACCCGGGCATTTGCATATCCCCAAA